TGAATACACTCACTGACTCAGTGTCCACATTTTCTGACTCGAGAAATCAAAAGATTCACAACACTTTGCACGAAGAAGCCTCTTCTCACCTCTGCCCAACTCCTTAAACCACGATGTTTGATCCCATGTTTTAGATTCCACAGCTGGGGAATCATTGTCTCAGCATCAACCCCTTACACAAACTCCGAGTGACTGAGAATGTCAACAATTGCAATCCTCATCAAATCCTGCTCAAAGAGCACCCTCTCCTGGACATCCTCTGCAGACTCCCCTTTGTGGTCTGATTGTATGCTATCTGCTCGAGCCCTCCAGCATCTCCCATTGCAACTTTCTGTTCTGCTGCAGAGATTTAATCCTGCTATGCAGGCCAAGACTCTTGGTGCAGTACTGAAGGAGTGCTTCAATGTTGAAGATGCTGTCTTTATAATCAGACTTCAAACCAAGGCCCCGTCGGCCGTTCCAGGCAATCTTTCTACAACAATCTTTCAAAGGAAAGGATGGGAGTTCTCCATTTATTAAATGTGGCACAGTGGCTCAGTGGTTAGCACTGCTGGCTCACACAGCGCCAGGGACCCGGGTTTGATTCCACCCTCGGGGACTGTCTGTGTGGAGTTTGCATGTTTTCTCCATGTCAGTGTGGTTTTCCTCTGGGTACTCTGCTTTCCTCCCACATATGTGCAGGCTAGGGTGGATTGGCCATGTCAAATTGCCCATAGTGTCCAGGGATGTGCAGGTTAGGTGGGTTAGCCATGGGAAATGTGGGGTTATAGGGACCAGATAGGGGCTGGATGGGATGCTCTTTGGAGGGTCAGTGCAGTCTCATAAGGAGCAGGAGTAGGCCATCTGGCCCCTCGAGCCTGCTCCACCATTCGATAAGATCATGGCTGATCCTTTCATGGACTCAGGTCCACTTACTCGCCCGCTCACCATAGCCCTTAATTCCTTTCCTGTTCAAAAATCGATCTTTTCCCTAAAAGCATTCAATGAAGTAGCCTCAACGGCTTCACTGGGCAGGCAATTCCACAGATTCACAACCCTTTGGGTGAAAAAGTTCCTCCTCAGCTCAGTCCTAAATCTGGTCCCCCCTTATTTTGAGGCTATACCCCCTAGTTCTAGTTTCACCTGCCAGTGGAAACATCCTCCCTGCTTCTATCTTACCTATTCCCTTCATAATTTTATGTTCCTATAAGATACCGAAACACGAGGCTGAATGGATTCACTGAAGCAGTACATTTGTTGAATTTTGATGTTCCTATTTGTGGGAGCTTGCTGTGTGAAAATTACCTGCTGTATTTTTTTCCTGACTCCTCCCTAGACGTACTGCAATTGGCTACAATACATTTCCTGGTGATTGTGTAAGGTTTTCGCTATACCCATCTCCCCTCTTCTCAGATTCCAATGTTGGACATTTTCCACTTGATGGCACAGCCTCTGGCTATCTCCTTCTCTCTTCTCCTCTTGTCCAGCGTAAGAACCTATACAAGGGTCTTTTCATGTGGGGAAGCTGTTTCACTGGGGCCACTATTACAATTGGACAAAATCTTACAAAGCTGGGTGTGCCCAAGCCTGACAATGGGGTGACTGAGATACCTTGGGTCGATTCACTGCCACCAGACCTTCTGGTTGGTGTTAGTCTAAGTTACTGGTACCAAGTTGGGAAAGAATGTCCACATAAACCCTTCAATAGAAAATAGTCATAAAGTCATTGAGGTTTACAGCACAGAAAAAGGCCCTTCAGCCCATCAAGTGAGGCTTGATCTTGATCACCAGTAAAGGTTTATTATATAGTGGGGAGGTGATGGCCTAGTGGTATTATCGCTGAACTGTTAATCCAGCGACTCAGATAATGTTCTGGGGACCCGGGTTCAAATCCTGCCATGGCAGATGGTGGAATTTGAATTCAATAAATATCTGGAATTAAGAATCTAATGATCGTGAATCCATTGCCGATTGTCAGGGAAAAATCCATCTGGTTTAGGGCATCCTTACCTGGTCTGGGCTACATGTGACTCCAGACCCACAGCAATGTGGTTGACTCTTAGCTGCCCGATGGGCAATAAATGCTGCCTAGCCAGCAATGCCCTCATCCTGTGAATGAATAAAGGATATATTAGTTAATAGCTAGTGATATCTCAGATACGCAATTGCCTCTTATGACAGATAGGCTCAACTTAAGAGTAAGCATTCATTACTGTTAGCTACATTGACTTCAAACTAGAATGACATGCTGGTTGACTGCTCCCAGGAGCAGTTTTATATTTTGATGAGTGGAGCTTATTTTGTGATGTTAATTAACCCTTACAGGTGTGAACTGTATTAAAGAAAAGTTACCATGTGGTCGTGGCTGACCCAGAAACTTTTCCCCTCTCTTAAAGCTCACTATGAGGTGAAAAGATTTGCAAGTTGATGATCTACCTGTTTGGCTGCATTCTGAATGTGTGTTTCTTGACCATTGAGGCCTAGGGTAGGACTTGAACCCAGTGCTCTGGTTACTGACCATAGAATAGATACAATCCCTACAGTGTGGAAGCAGGCCATTTGGCTCCATACCAACCCTCGGAAGAGCATCCCACCCAGAGCCACCCCTTACCCTATAACCCCACATTTCCCATGGCTAATCCACGTAGCCTCCACATCTCTGGATACTATGGACAATTTAGCATGGCCAATCTATTTAGCACACGCAACTTTGGACTGTGGAAGGAAACCAGGGCACTCAAAGCAGACATGGGGAGAATGTACAAACAATTACCCGAGGGTGGAATCGAGCCTAGGTCCCTGGTGCTGTGAGGCAGCAGTGCTAACCACTGAGCCACTCCACTGCACCAAAAAACACTGCCCTTGTACTGTGGATGGACAAAGAACACACTCACTTCCTCGCTGATTTCAGGGGAGACACTAAGTTCCAGGAATAACAGAGAAACATAGAATAAAGGAGCAGGAGCAGGCCATTCGGCCCTTTGAGCCATTCCTCCAACTCAGTAACTTGTTCTCACTTTCCCCCATGCCCTCTTTTTCCTTCCCTAGACTCTTTGATATCAAAAGGAATCATTATTTTTTCTGTACCAACACTTTGATTTACAAAGCTAAAATCATAAATGAACATTCACTTTTTTTTATTCACTTGTGGGATGACTGGCCCAGCATTTATTGCCCGTCCCTAGTTGTCCCTGAGAAGGTGGTGATGAGCTGCCTTCTTGAACCACTATAGTCCATGTGCTGCAGGTAGACCCACAATGCCCTTAGGGAGGGAATTCCAGGATTTTGACCTAGCAACACGGCAATATCTGAGTGTATTTGATGAACGGTTTACGCAGCTAATGAACAAGTGATTGAGGAAGGGCAGGCTGTAGTAATGAATTAACCAACTCAAAGATGAATTGTTCAAACCTTTCGTTCATGTATATTGAAGAAGGTCTGGTCTCCTACCTTAACTCCAATTTCCAGCCCTGTCCCCATATCTCTAAGCTGCCTTAATATCCTTTAACTGTTAATATTAGCAACTAATGGTATATACATACCAGGGAAATAGAGGAAAATAACTTTAAACATGGCCACAGGGCTCATCTGAGTCCCACAGAGCTCAGTCATCTCCAAGTTGGAGGCCAAGGTATGTTTCTGGGATGACGATTTACAATAGATAAGTGCTTCTCTGTACCTGCTGTTTCACTGCGAAATGTAGATAGTTGATAATTGATATAAGAAAACATTCTTATTTCCAAGTCTGGCAGTGTTGTAGATCCATACAGCATTGAAAAAGGCCATTTGATCTATCATGTCTCTGCTAGCTTCCGTAGCTTCCCTCCCTTCCACTTTTAACATAGCTGTGAACATTTCTCATTTTCAAGTCTTTTATCCAATTCCCTTTTGAAAGTTACTATTTTATTTACTTCCCCTGTCCTTCAGACAGAGCGTTCTAGATCATATCAACTTGCTGCCTCATGAAATAAAATCTGAAATTGCTGGAGAAGCTCAGCAGGTCTGGCAGCATTCATGGATGGAAAGCAGAGTTAACGTTTTGGGTCCTGTGACATTTCCTCAGAACAGACTGTAGCTAGGAAAAGGTTGGTATGTATGCTAGAGAAGGGGAGGGGTAGTGGGAAAGTGTAAACAATAGGTAGAGATAGAGCCCAAAGAGAGAGGAACACAGTTGGGCAGACAATAGAATGGGTGATGGTCAGCCTGGGAGAATTAATAACTGCTAATGGGGATTACTAGTGGCTGAAAATGGGTTGTTTGTAGTAGCAGCCCTTGTGAGGACTTCTGCATAAAACCAACCTTTTCCTAGCTATCATCAATTCCGAAGAAGGGTCACTGGACTTGGAAGCTAAATCTGCTTTCTCTCCACAGATGCTGTCAGACCCGCTGAGCTTTTCCAACAATTGCTGCTTTTGTATCTTAACCTTGTGCCCATTTCTCATGGACCCCCATTGGAAACAGTTCGGCCTTAATTCATCTATGAAATTGCTTTGTGATTTTGAAAAGCCCTGTCAATCTCCTTTTAACCTTCTCTGCTGTCATGAGCAAGCCCCAAATACACCCATCCCTCCATATCACTGAATTCCCTCAATACAGTAGCTTTGTAATAAACCTGCTCCAAATTAAAAGGGTCAGCCACAGATTTGACTGAGTGATGGGAAGCCGAGATTACTGGTCAATGGATCTTTTTCAGGATGGGGGGAGTTTGTGGTTCATCTGTGATGCTGCCAGTCCTGCTGAGTTTCTCTGTCAATTTCTGTTTTTGTTTCAGATTTGCAGCATCTGCCATTCTTTGTGTTATTTTAGATTTGTTTATTTCAATGGGCTGAATGGCTTCTTCTGTGCCCCCCACAGTTGTATTTTTAGGTGTAATTTAGAGGTCTTTGGACTAATTTGGAAGTCTTTAATTTTCATAAGACCATAAGACACAGGAGCAGAAATTAGGCCATTCGGCCCACCAAGTCTGCTCCACCATTCAATCATGGCTGATAAGTTCCTCAACCCCATTCTCCTGCTTTCAGGGGGGATAGGCTGTAGCGGACCAGACCGAGGCCAGGCCAGGAGGTGTTTGGATGCTGTGGAAATCTATAACCCGGATGGAGATTTCTGGAGGGCAGGACCTCCGTTGCCGACCCCAATACTGTCACTACGAACCAACTCCACCAACGCTGGGGTGGTAGACGGAAAGCTGTACGTTTGTGGAGCGTTCCGGGGAGCAGGTACGGACTGATTCAGTGGTCTAATTACTCGACTGGCTCTGAGCTGATCAGATAAGAGAAAACATTGATATTGAGCCAGAGAAGGCAAACGTTCAGACACTTCGTCAAAGATATTAGGTTTAAACAGCATTGGAAAGGCTGTAACCACCAGAGAAATTTCAGCAGGCCTGGCAGCATCTGTGGAGAGAGGTACAGAGTTAATGTTTCAAGTCTGGTATGACTCTTCTTCAGAACTGAAAGGGATTGGAAAATAGGTTTGGCCTTTAAAAAAAAGGAAGTTTTCTAATCAACCTGATCAGAGATGTTATTGCGCACCTCTGGACGAGTGGAACTTGAAGGTGGATCTCCTGACTCAGACGTAGGGCCCCTACCACTGTGTCCCAAGAGTACTCCATAAAAATAATGGATTGTGTGGCAGAGTACAAGGGCAGGGGGTGATGGGAGTGAGCACTGTTAGCAGAGAAAGCTGCCTGGTTCTTTTGAAAGCGGCAGAGGAGGAGCAAGAGAGAAGGTGTTGCAGTTGTGCAAAAGACAAAGGGATTGTTAGTAGTGGAGAGTAAAAAATAGAGACATCGAAAGGGTGTAAATTAAAGTGGGAAGGGGAGAGAATTATTTCTTGTTACCAAGTGCAAAGTAAACGTCATACAAATACGCCATGGTTGTGAGGGAGGGGATGGGTGGAGAATATAAGAAAAATCGAGGGCAGACACAAACCAGTCAGTATTGAATTCAATATTGAGACCTCAAGGCTGCAGTAGCTGATCCAGGATAGAAGTGTTAGCATGGGAACAGAAAGGCTAGTGGCCATATGGCATGGTGACTCAGTGGTTAGCGCTGCTGCCTCACTGTGCCAGGGACCTGGGTTCGATTCCACCCTCAGGCAACTGTCTGTGTGGAGTTTGCACATTCTCCCCGTGTCTGCGTGGGTTTCTTCCTGGTGCTCCAGTTTCCTCCCACTGTCCAAAGATGTGCAGGTTAGGTGGATTGCCCCATAGTGTCTAGGGGTGTGGGACATGCAGGGCTACAGGGATAGGGGAGTGGGTCTAGCTGGGATGCTCTTTGGTGGATCAATGTGGACTTGATGGGCTGAATGGCCTGCTTCCACATTGTCGGGATTTGGCCAAAAATATTGGTTTTAAACAGAGCCTCAAAGGCAGATAGAGAGGAGGTGACGTTTTGAGAGGGCGTTGCAGACTTTAGAGCTGAGGTCAGCGTTTCTCTAACTTTTTTCTTCCATGACTGCATGAGGCCCCGGTGAGAGCCGAGAGATTGGGAATATAACCATCTTAATGCAGTTGTACCCATGTGGCTACCATTGTTCCCAAAATTCCAGCAGGCAATCCTACTTGGGGTCCCAGCCCCTTCGCAGGGAAACCCTGGCTTTGGCTGAAGCGATGGCCAAACAATAATAGGGAAGGTTAAAAAATTTCCAAAGAGCCATATTGGAATCGAAACGCTAACTCTGTTTCTCTCTCCAGTGATGCTGCCAGATCTGCTGAGTTTCTCCAGTACTTTCTGCCTTTATTTCAGATTTCAGGGTGTTTCGCTTTTATAATTAGTTAAAATTGGGAATGTAAGAGGTCAGAATCTGGGTGGTTGGAGGCTTGCAGGAATTCTGGGTAGTTGCAGAGATGGAGTGGTTTACAGAAGTAGGGAAGTGAGTGAGACCGGGGTGGGGTTGGGGGTCTTTGAACACACTGGGTTGAGAATTTTAAAATCCTGGTGGATCAGGATAGGGAGAGTAGGGGTTAATGGGTCAACAGGTCTCTGTGTGAGTTAGGATAAAGGCAGCAGAGTTATAGGCTGAGGTTGGAGCATGGAAGTCAGGCTGGTTGGAAAGGGTGGGAATGGTCAAGCCTGGGGATTGGCGGGGGGAAGCACAGATAAACACGGACGCTATTAATGCAGACAGTGAGAGCCTTGCGTTATGTAATTGTACAATTACATGTTGGGCAACATAGCCACTTCTCTACACAAAAGAGACTCGGAATAGAGTCATAGAGGTATACACCATGGAAACAGGCCCTTTGTCCCAACTTGCCCATGCTGCAACTTGCAGGAATTATTACAACTGCCATATCCAATAGAATATCTGAAAGCAAGTCCCTAAATTTGTACTACTCAGCCTGTTGACCATTGTGCTTAGCTGGCAGCATCTGTGGAGAGAGCAACAAAATTAAATTTCAAGTCAGGTTCTGAAGATTTTAAGGAGAAAGGTTTAAAAAGGACATGGGGGCAACTTTTTTCTGTACAGAGAGTCTTTCGTGTGTGGAATGAACTGCCAGAAAAAAGTGGTGGATGGGGATACAGTTATAACATTTAAAAGGCATTTGAATAAGTTCATGAATAGGAAAGGTTTGGAGGGATAAGGGCCAAATGCAGGCAGGTAGTTTAGTTTGGTAACATAGTCGGCATGGTCTGGTGGGACCGAAAGGTCTGTTTCCATGCTGTATGACTCTATAAGAATCAAACTCGACTCGAAACATTAACTCTGTTTCTCTATTCACAGATGCTGCTAAACCCGTTGAGTTTCTCTGGCATTCTCTGCCTGATTTCCAGAACCCACGGTACTTTGTTCTTATTCACTGCATTTAATTGTCTTCCTTTGTCTAGATCGACATGAAGTCATTGTCAAAGACATCTTGGAATTGGATCCTTGGGAGCATCGGTGGAACATAGTGGCCCACAATGTCCTCATGCATGACAGCTATGATGTCTGTCTGGTTGCAAGGCTCAACCCAAGGGACCTCATTCCTCCACTGTCAGACTTGGTGGACCAATGAGGAAAGGGTGGCACAGGTTATTGGGTGAGGGGAGGGGGGCTCTTTCAGCTTGGCTGTGGCTCAGCGGGTAGCACTTTCACCTCTGATTGTAAAGGTTGTAGGTTCAAGTCCTCCATCCAAAGCCCTGGACGTCAGATTGGCACTGAGATTGTCTGTGCGGTACTGTTGGAGGTGCTATCTTTCTGATGTTAAATTAAGACCTGGTCTGTCCTCTGAGCTGGATGTAAAATAACTGCTGGGGAGTATTCCCTGATGCTTTGGCCAACAATTTTGCCTCAACCGACATCATTAAATGTAGCTTTTATGGAGCTTATCACATTGTTGTTTGTTGGAGTTTGTGAAAATTGCATTCCTACATTTGAAAGAATATCTCATCAGATATTTTGGGGGTAGGATAAAAGACGTTACATAAATGTAAATCTTTCTTTCCTGTCTCTCAGAAATAAGAGCGAGAGAGTAACCCTGCTGATCTCTACTCTGGACCATTGATTTTCTCTTTGGCTTAAAATGTCATCATTTTGCTGCTAGATGCATTGGCCGAAGCATTATCAGACAATACAAACCTGGTCCAATTTGCCAGCCCTTGAACACAGTGGCATGAGCGATGTTTGAGTCCTACACTTGTCATCGATCACCCCTCTTAGTCGCTCCCTCCAGTTACTGATCACACCAATTTATTGAAATATGACTCAGGCCGCCTGACCTGACCCCACTCGTCCCTTATCCTGAATTCTCCTCAGCTGGGCTGAAGAAAATTGACTGAGATTCCCGTTGGTCATTGCTGTCCTGGGAACTTAAGGAGCAGAAGAGGGCCATTTGGCCCCTCGAGCCAGCTGCACCGTTCAATTCAAGACCATGGCTGATTTTCTAAATCAACTCCATGTTGTGAGAAACTACACCATTGTGCTGAGCTGTGCATCTGTCACCTTCTCCTTCACCTGTCCCGCCTCCATGTATGGTCAAATATTTGGCTCATGTTACTGGTGTGTTAATTCTATCGTGAAGATACAAAGGTGAAGGGCATTGTTTGGTTATATACTTAGATCACATAATGCAGAGTCCTCTGGTAAAGATTTTTGTCACAGGAGAACATCGTGGGGGCTGGGCTGCAGGATTTCCCTGACAAATGTCATCCGGAGTCAAGATTTTCTGAGTTTCCTTTAAAATTTCCATTTAAGGTACAGTGCCCTAAGGAGGTATTGCATTTTGTTTTCACTTTTTCCTCATTTTGTTATTTGGTTTTGTCAAAAGAGTATTTTGAGCACTTGTAGAGAGAGACTGTTCTGTGGCTGATGGGCATCGCAGGAGCTGGGATATATCAATGAAAATGACCTTTTCATCATGAGATTTGGGATTTGATCTTCAGTTATGGCGCCCCTTCAAGGAGTTGCAGCCTAACTACATTGATTCAATTTGGTCTAATTCAGGTTATATAAAACAGAGAGCAGCACAGGAATGGGCCCTTTAGACCTCGATGTTGTGCCAAATAATTGTTTACAATTTCCACAGATGATTTAGAGTTGGGGACCAAGTGTAGTTTGTCAAAGTTTGCAGATGACACTAAGATGAGTGGTGCAGCGAAGTGTGCAGAGGGATATAGATAGGTTAAGTGAGTGGGCAAGGGTCTGGCAGTTGGAGTACAATGATGGTAAATGTGAGGTCATCCATTTTGGGAGGGTAACAGCAAAATGGATTATTATTTAAATGGTAGAAAATTGCAACATGCTGCTGTGCAGGGGGACCTGGGTGTCCTTTTGCATGAATCACGAAAAGTTGGTTTGCAGGTGCAGCAGGTAATTAAGAAGGCAAATGGGTATTATCCTTCATTGCTGGAGGGATGGAGTTTAAAAACAGGGAGGCTATGTTACAGCTGTGTAGGGTACTGGTGAGGCTACACCTGGAGTACTGTGTACAGTTTTGGTCTCCTTACTTGAGAAAGGATGTGCTGGCACTGGAGTGGGTGCAGAGGAGGTTCACGAGGTTGATTCTAGAGTTGAGAGGGTTGGCTTATGAGGAGAGATTGAGTAGACTGGGGCTATACTCATTGGAATTTAGAAGAATGAGGGGCAATCTTATAGAAACATAAAATAATGAAGGGGATAGATAAGATAGAAGCAGGGAGGTTGTTTCCACTGTCAGGTGAAACTAGAACTAGGGGGCATAGCCTCAAAATAAGGGGGAGCAGATTTAAGACTGAAGGAGGAACTTCTTCACCCAAAGGGTTGTGAATCTGTGGAATTCCCTGCCCAGTGTGGCAGTTGAGGCTACCTCATTGAATGTTTTTAAGGCAAAGATAGTTAGATTTTTGAACAGTAAAGGAATTAAGGATTAGTGTGAGCGGGTGGGTAAGTGGAGCTGAGTCCATGAGAAGATCAGCCGTGATCTTATTGAATGGTGGAGCAGGTTTGATGGGCCAGATGGCCTCCTCCTGCTCCTATTTCTTATGAACATGATGTTGAATTAAACCAATCCCTTCTGCTTGCCCATGGTCCACATCCCTCCATTCCTTGCATATTCATGTGCTTGTCTAAAAGTCCCTTAAACGCCTCTGTCCTATCTGCCTCCACCACCACCCCTGGCAGTGTGTTCCACACTCCTGCCACTCTCTGTGTAAAAACACATGCCCCTCACATCTCCTTTGAACATTCCCCTCTCACCTTAAATGCATGCCACCTAGTTTTAGACATTACAACTCTGGGAATAAAATTCTGACCATCAATCCTATCTATACATCTCATAATTTTATAGACTTCTATCAAGTCTCCCCTCAGCCTCCGCCACTCCAGAGAAAACCATCTGAGTTTTTATAGCCTCTCCTTGTGCCTCATACCCTCTAATCCAGGCAGCATCCTGGTAAACCTCTCTAAAGCCACTTTTATCAAAATAATGTAAAGAGAGACCACTGGGACAGTTGGAGGAGACAGACATGTGTGATGTTGCATTTTTAAATAAGCCATAGGGCTGCTGTTTCATTCGAGAAAGATGACAGGTGGTGATTTAACTTGAGGGTTGCCAAGTGAGGGGAGATGTTGAGAAGGAGAATGCTTCATGGTAACCCCAACCATTGTAGGGAACTGAACCCACATTGTGGCGTCCCTTTATGTTGCAAACCAGCTAACTGAGCTCATGGACCCCCTACTTTTTAAATAAAGGAACTATTAAGAAAGGGATTTGTGTCAAATGTAATGCTTCGGAGTTTGACCTGGGATTTGTTTATCAACTAAGAAGACAAGGCCCATGCAGTGAGACCACGGAATTAGTTCCAAAGGAATGAAGAAACAGCTTGTATTGAAGTGTCCCAAAACACTTCAAAGGAGTAGTTTTAAAGTGGGATCACTGTTTCAGGAGAAAATCTGGGAACCAATTAATACACAGCAAACTCCAACAAACAAAAATTGGCATCAGTGGTCAGAGGATCCATTTCAGGGGAGGGTATGGCCTAGTGGTATTATCGCTGGACTGTTAATCCAGAGAGCCAGATAATGTTCTGGGGAATCCTGGTTCGAATCCCACCATAGCAGATGGTGGAATTTGAATTCAATAAAAATATCTGGAATTAAGAATCTAATGATGACTATGAGTCCATCGACGATTGTCGGGAAAACCCATCTGGTTCACTAATGTCCTTTAGGGAAGGAAACTGCCATCCTTACCTGGTCTGGCCTACATGTGACTCCAGACCCACAGCAAATGTGGTTGACTCTTAACTGCCCTCTGGGCAATTAGGGATGGGCAATAAATGCTGCCTAGCCAGCAATGCCCTCATCTTGTAAATGAATAAAAAAAAAATTAAATGTTGATTGAGGGTTTCTCATACATCTGCGTCAGTGAGGCCAACTCTCCTGCCTCCTTCAAAATAGTAGCTACAGGATTTTTAACATTTGCTGGAGAGGGCAGCTAGTGTCTTGGTTTAATGTCTCCTCTGAAGTCCCAATATAGATCATATGTTCATGTTTCAAAGTGGAACATGAAACCACAACTTTCTCACGAGATGAGATTGCAGTGCACTGAGTCACAGCTGTTACCGGTGTGGGCCAGCACCTTCAGGAGTGTAGGGGAAAGCAAGTGTACGTTTTTCAGTTTAAACCTGACCTGGGACACTGTTATGAGCTAGGGACGATTACCATCACCTTTTAAAATTTTAATTGAAAGTTATTCCACAGCTAAACATCACAACACATCCTGGGACATTGTCTCTGCCTGCGTTCTTACATCCCTCAATAAAACTGCTAAGAGCTTAAGTCCTTGTTTTTAATTAGTTGTTTGGTGGTACAGCATTTGAGAATCATTGAAGAAAGATAAAGGTTGTTGAAGCTTTCCGCCTTGCATTCATCAGGATAATTCCAAAGAAACAGGCATGTGAAG